GTTGGGGATTTTGTATTTAGGTGCCAGCATTTTCAATAAATTAACAAAGCCCTTGTCTTCTACACTCGAGAACGGTTGAAAATCTTTCACAATCATGAATGCGATCGCTTCGTTAATTTCTCTGGTTTTCGGTCCATCATCTAGAATGTTAGAATTAATTTCCCATTATTAATAAAATAACATGAGCTTAATTGCTTAATAATCGTGCTATAATATATATTATTTAATAACTGGTTCTGCGTCATACATATAGAAAGAGCATACTACCATTTCGAGCTCGAAAAAGCGATCCAAGACTTATTAGACAAGAATATTTGTAAGATGGGCTTCAACGTAGAGTCGTGTTCTTCCTCTGTAGTACCATGAACAACCAAATCATCCATTTACACGATCACTCCTTTTATCCCCCTGAACAACGGCGTATAATATCTCTTGGAGACCAGTTTCATCCCTTTCATCTTATATTACCATGCATACCGAAAAACCTGGCATAGTGGGAAAAATGGTTGGTATCAGAAAATTATCTGTCAAACTACTACAACAAACCATACAATACACAACACGACTTCTCGGATATTCTACGGAGTTCTTGGAAGATCTATTGATACGAACTTCTCAAAAGTTCTACAGACTTCTAGGAAGTTCTACGGTCTATTCGGAAGCTCTACAAACTTCTTGGAACTTCTATGGACTTCTATATATATGACGCAGAACCAGTTATCTAGTTTTTGCGGAAGCTTTTGAACGGAGTTTGACTGAAAACCTCCATAGTATAATTCCAAATTTGCTTTACCCATAGTCAATATTTAAAAACGAGTGAATTTTTAACCTCAAACTGATTTTAAAACAAAAAATAACATACACTACCTTGTCCAAAGTTGCGTTTCTTTAAACATTCGATCTATTGTGGATGCCGATGTGGATGATTCTGCAGATGCGAAGCTTGTACTGGGAGTAGGAGGTTGAGCCAAATCTTGTTCGTAATCCTGACACTTGGATGCATTTTGCGACCGTAGCGTGTTGTCCTTCTGGGGATGCTTCTGGAGATGAATTTTCAAATTGGTGGTATTACCGCGACGTGGAACTTCTGCACCACATATTTTACACTTAGCGGATACTGTGGACGTTTTCACAAAATAATTCCAAACTTCGGACATCTTCAACGATATTTACATAAATATGTAGGTAAATGACTTCCGATGACTATCTAAGCAAAAAAAAACTATACATTACAACGAGCACGAACAGAAATTATAACAGTCGCGAGTTCGTTTCGTCTGTACACGAGGGATTCGAAAAATGTTGAGATTAATGATTCATTGATTTATCCGATGTTTATGTGTACCCATTTATGTATTTATCCGATTTAAATGGTAGAGTATTGTGTCAAAAACTCAATAGTCGTCTCTTTCATTACTGCGTAATTGGCGTTGACGATGACGGCATTAGCTCAGCCGGGAAACTCTCTTTGCACCAACTGTTTCTTAGGCTGTGAACCATTTGCCGGGTTAAATTTAACTCGTGATTAAAAGTGACATTTCGAAAGTTATTTTCTATGTTCGAAAATCCCCGTGCTGTCGATCGACCGGTTTTCGAGCCACGGTTGTCAAAATTTAACTTCTTGTCGGTCAGAAATAACCACGCTCAGATAGCAGGGTTAACCGATAACTTTCCATCTGTCAAATTTTAACCAAAAGTTAAAATAATCCACCAAATGGTTCAGAGCCTTAAGCTGGGTTTAAACAGGGCAAGTCAATTGATCAACTCAGTTGAATTCAACTGACTTGAACGCGAATTGAACGTGTAAACCATGCCATTCAACTGACTTGATCAACTCACTTGAATTGAAAAAAGTTGAACCAGGCTCAACTTTTCAAGCCAATTGAATTCAACTGGGTTGATCATTTGACTTGCCTAGTCTAAACCCAGCATTATTGACGTGTGAATGAAAAAAGCATAAATCTTCCCTCCTTCACTTTCTGACATAAAATCGCAAATCGCAAAAAGAGTAATATCATCATTGCCAATATTTATAAACAGTGCTACCAGCAAACCGATATTAAATTCATATTATCGTCGATATCGAATTTTGAAATATCGGTTATCGTATCGATAATTTGGACCCAATATTTATCGATATTATCGGATTTATTGATATCGTCACAGCACTAGCGTCCACTAGACGGCGAATACGCATTTGAACAAAATCGAAGCCCGACGCTAGTGATCTATCCCGCGGGGACTAGACGGCTGTGATATTTCATCTACCACATCTCAGATTCCGAATGTTTAATCCACAATTTTTAATTAATTCATATCTCAGCGCATACTAATCCAACTCTCAGCGCTGATAGTTCGACCTGATTTGATTGAGAGACAACGAAAAGCAAACGTCACGCAACGCATCATCAGACTTCTTAGCAACAAAGAAACCAGCGTGAACCGCAATTGCACGCGCCCTCCGTCTATCTACCTGCCTAAGTGGTCATACTTTGCGCCTCGTACCCCTAACTTGGTTGTGTATTTAAACTATGTTACATCCTTCGGCGGGGTTGCGCAATTGTGCTTTCGCGTTGAGTGCAAAGAAACTGAGAAACTGAGAAGCTTGAAGATATTCTTGTTTTGTCTTCACATGTATTTCTGTCTGTATGTTTGTGTGTTTGCTTTACATTTTCTTTTAATAAATTTAAGATTAACTCAAATAATTATACATCAGTTTTTATTTTCCATTGTTTGTCAAATGCTGCAAACAATTTGTCGGTAGCCAGTTGTGTTTTTTGCATTTGTCAATTAAACCAAAAAAAATAATGGGGTGAAATAGAAAATAAAGAAGAAAGACACAATACTTTTCCTAAACGCTAAAATCACTTGATAATCTCGACCAAAACTCTCGTTTGGGCAAACTTGAAACTGGAAACAATAGAGGTTCAGAAGAGAGGGTTGAAGTGTTTGTTTTTATACATATTAGTGTGTTGGTTTCTCCTTCAATAGCGCGGGTAGCAATAGAGATGAAGAGGGAAGGGGACTCGTTGTAAGCGCATTGTTGTTGTGGTTGTTCTAGTTGTGAGTGTGATCTATTTGTTCGGTCTGTGCGTGGTGGTTGCGGACGGCTCAATCGCGATCGATCAGAAACAATAGTTTGCCATAGTAGTGATCGGAATGAACGACCTAGCGAACGAACAACGAAGCATAGTTCATTGCTAGCGATTGTGAGCGTGTAAGTTTGCCCGGGGGTTGGTTTTTGTTTGGCTTATTGGTAGTTTTTGTGAAAGCGGACACCTTCTGTCTGGCCAAGAGGTCTGAAAAGAAGAGGCGTGGTTTAGCAGGGCTGCCAGCAGGGGATGCGTGTGGGTGTGTGCGTGGGGTTGGGCTTGTAAGAAGTCGAAGAAGGTGCGGTCATCGACGCCGATAGTTTGTGCAAACTGTAAGTAGAAAAGAAGGCGATGAATGGAAGAAGGGTTGCGCCGGTTGGATGGTTTTTTCGAGGTTACAAAAAACACGCCGTGAAGAACAAAGAGGTGAACAGTTACTGTCAGTCGATGAAGAAGGTGATGCTAGTCAATTTGGTATATGAGTAGATATTGACCGAAGTTGAAATCATGCAAACATATTTAGCTAGTAGTAGTTTTTTTCTGGTTAAGTGTTGATTTGACATACATCTGCACGTTTGGAATCTTCTGGAACTGGAAGATGCTTTGAAAGCATTCCAAAGTTAACGTCTTGAAAGGGAATTAAACTAGTTGTGGTTAACTCAAAAAGACTGTCCGTGTCAATTTGCCATAATGCCATAAATCTCAGAGTGCCATTAATTCACGACGATCACAACTATACTTTTCATAGCATGTTATCTGTGATGCGTTGTTACGACCTCTGCATTTGGTAGCGATTGTTTCATCGGAAAATAGGTTATACCAACCCTCAGCTAAACCCACGATAACGGAACAACACATCTGAGAGCCGCAATTCGTTGCAATAGTCTTTTGTTGTCCAATTGATACCGTCCACTTCACTCGCACATACACTATAGTTAGGAGTTTTTTTTTACAATATTAACACTACAATTAGATGAGCATATGGTGGTTTAAAGAATCATCATCCTGGTTAATACACACGATTGGTTTCTATCCGTTCATTGTTCAGTTCAGCGTGCATTACATCGCTTTTTGTTTCGCGGTTAATCAAGGTTCCAAGGGGTTATAAAAAGTAGGGAAAACAACAGAACATGATCTCATCTTCTCTCTCTTTCTCTTTCTCATTCGCTCTCTTCTCTCATCCGGTCTCTCATGTCTCATGCATCGGCGGCCTCACGAACGAGTTTCGCATATTACACTAGTTCACACAACGCCACTATTGGTGTAACAGTTACTAACATGTGTCGGTTTGTTTATGTGTTGTTTTTTGTTGCTGCAATAGTAGTAATAGTAGTAGTAGTAGTAGAGACAAGTGTGTGAAAAATATATGATATTAATTAAGACAATTTGCCCTACAGCCGCGCACGCGCAACTTTCTTCTGTTTGTCTCTGGTTTGTTGTTGTATTGTTTCTTTACTTGTTAAGTGTTACTTTTCTACTTAAAATTTACGCCCTAGATCTTGTGTGTGTGTGTGTTTTTTGTCTGTATTTATCTCTATAAGTTCTTCACGATTTGATTATTATTCTTTACAATTAATAATATTTCACCTTCCACACCATTTTGTGTGTTTTTTCTCTTTGTCACAAATTTTATTTCTCTCATTTGGAAGGACCAATTTACGATGCGATGAATGTGATGAAGTGAACGAAACATTAAACCTCACCAGAGAAAAAAAAACATTCACAAACATAAACAACAACAAAAAAAATCTGCTTCTGTCAATCAAGCACTGGTTCGATTCTCTTAATATCTTCTTTTTATTGCAAGGCTATACAAAGAACAACTCAAACTTTTCCGTGTTATTTTAAGCTAAATAAATTTTCAAAACTTCCCTTTATTCGAACTTGATTACACTTGACATCCTAGGATTTTTATTCTCTTACGCTTCACATATTAAATCGATATATAGTATTTGCAGTGGAACGTTCCCACTGCAGTAAAAAAATAATAATTACTAAATAAACGAACTTGTTACAAATGTTACAAACACTACCTAAAAACGTATCTGTTTGCCCTTTGCGTCCTCCTGATTTTTTTGCATCTTACTAAATTTGTTGCATTATCCTACTAGAGTGTCTTCGAGACGGCAGCCATCATCTTTGTGGTGGAGAGGAAATAGAACTTCATCGAAACTTGATACGCAATAGGGGCGGCGACACCGCTCCTCTCCCTCTATCTCTCTTTCTCTTTCTTTTTCTCACTATCTGCATCATATGTTTGTGTGTTTGTTTGCGTATGTGTGTGAATGTTTGTTGTTTGAGAAAAAAAAATGGCAAGGGTGTTCTTCCCTTTTCCTTTTTGTTTTTTTTTTTTTTAATATATTCAACCTTCATCTGTATGTGTTTGTGTGTTTGTTTGTTTGTTTGTGTGCAATATTATTAATTAATAATAATCAAATCGTTCTGAATTTCATCTCGATAAACTGTGGGAACGCTCCCGGCTACTACTGGCCGAGACGGAATTTTCATTACATTTCTCGTGCAGACGCTGCGCCGGCGGGAGCTTCGCGAAGAACGGATGCCGCAGGGCTTCACCTGGAAATGGAATACGAAGAAGGATGGAGAGAATTAGTCATCGGCGAAGACAACATATCAAGAAGACATGTCAATGAAGTTATCCAGTACCATACCATCCAAGACAAGACATTCAAACATTAAGATGTCAGGGCTAATGTTTTAAAATTGTCTGATCTTTTTACTTCAGAGAGAAGTTCTTCAATGAAATTTTAATATTCTTTTACAAATACTTGCTGAATGGGAATACTGAACCAAATATAATTATTAAAGTAGTGATTTTTATCCAGAGGATTCACTAGTATCTAAAGAAGACATCAGGCATAACATTTGATAACGGCACAAAAGCATTTGTAAACAAACTTTCTAAGGCCCTTTACACGCGAACCAAAGTACGCCCACGTAAACCAATACCACTTTCGGAAAGGTGATAGTTGCCTCTATCCGATGATGTTGTTGGTTTGCGTTGGCGTACTTTGGTTCGCGTGTAAAGGGTCTTAGAAAGTTTGTTTACAAATGCTTTTGTGCCGTTATCAAATGTTATCCCTGACATTTTCTTCCTTAAACATCAGGCCTAATTATCTCAAAATTGTCTGATTGACTTTTTTAACTTCAGAGAGAAGTTCTTCAAAGAAATTTGAAAATTCTTTTACAAATACAGTCAACTATCGCTCGTTGGCCTAAACCCGTAGCCCACTTTCGTTGGTGAAAGGCCTTTCGTTAGTTGGACTGAGCTGTCAAGCTGAAAATTGGTTGAGGGATACACCGATTGTTTATTATATAAATTGTTCATACATGAGCCCCTCGAAAATGAATTAGCACTGTCAGAAATGACGCTTGATTCCAGGTTGGCTACACACAGAAAACATTCTGAATGTTAACCATCGCGTAAAATCTCCTTTCGTTTAATTTTGAGCGAAATATCGCGTAAATTTATGCCAAATCTAGCGTTAATGTTATGTGCGCTATACTGCCCATAATCGCAAGTCAGACCCCTCTGTAAAAAACTGGAAATGAGAAAACGGCGTTCAAAGATTTTTCAAGTTTTCTGATTTGACACCTATTTTGGAGGGATAAATTTAAAAATAAACGTACAATGTGATAGAATGCATCTATGTTTACCCAAAAATATTGGAAAAATATCGTGAAATTTTTATTTTATGGCCAAAATCTGAGTGGGACTGACTTGCGATTACATTTAACGTCAATGAGGAAAATAACCGCAAGTCAGTCACAATTCCATGCCGATGCTGCATTAGTTTAAGCACAGTATTGAACAGTAGAAAGATACTATGGTCCCATAGAACTTTATTGAATGTTTTTGGATTTGTTCCGCTGGTTCCAGAGCAATGGCCGGAACATATTCCGGTGAGTATGGGTCTTCATCAGACCAGAGCCAAACGTGCCAAACTCTCCATGCGATGAATCAATTCACATGAGAATTCAAAAATAAGATCAATAAGAGTCATGATGAGTGACCAGCACCATGTTGGCCACACCCGGACATGTTCCGGGTATACCCGGGGAAGTGGTAAATCCTTTTAAATTAAAATCCATCAAGCGATACATCAAATCACATGATAATTCAAAGCCATATCCATTGGCGGTCAAATTGAGTATCGTAAGAACTATATTGGCCACATCCGGACATGTTCCAGATACCCTAGGGGAAGTGGACAAAAGCTATATTGAGACAAATCTCATGATGCGATGTGTTGTCTAACATTTCTGATAAATTTTTTTCTAATGGGACTGACTTGCGGTTACTTTTCGCTGTGGGACAATTTGACTTGGTATTGTTTTTCAGTTTTCTTGAACAAACCACATTTTTTCAATAGCACATCTCAAAAAACATAGAATGATAAACTGAATAATGATGCTAACTCAAAATTGATAAAAATGCAGATGGGACTGACTTGCGATTACCGGCAGTATATCTCGCAGAAATTTACATGAATTTTTCGAACGGTGCAGCCCAACTAACGGGAGTCCAACTAAAACGTAGCCCACTTAAACATAGCCTAACGAGCGAAATTTGACTGTACTTGCTGGATTGGAATACTGACCCAAATATAATTAAAGTCCAGCAAGTATTTGTAACAGAATATTTAAATTTCTTTGAACAGTAATGGTTTGAAATTTGGATTTGAATGTTCATTTAGTAGGGTTGTGCTAAAAATTACCATAGCCGAACGATAACCCAAATGAACTTTGCCTTGGCTTGAATTTCTAGAAATCATCGATAGAAGTCATTGTTTACAAAAGCTGTTAGGCCCTAATTCTAGCTCTATCTAGAATTGTTTGTTATGGGCAATCATATATTTTTTTGTAAAAATTCGGCCATTTTGTATCTTCTTATTATTTTAAAAATGGCGTCTTTGACAATTTTCAATAAATTGTAGCACGAAAACGTCACTTCTGATCGAAGTGACGTCTGGGACAAAGTTGTAGAGACAAATAAAGTCTTTCTAGAAAAAAAGTATACACGGTAGTATTTTTTTCGAGTATTTTTTAGTAATTTTGATTAAACAGTAAAAAAAAGTGGTTAAAACTCAAATATTTCAAAAAGTATATCTTAAATTTTTATAATTTTTGCTATGCGAAAATACTCTATAGAGATCTCTAAATGCTTAAGTTTATTGTCATAATACTGGAAACTCTATAGAGCTAATAACGTCATCAGCAGTCTGACACGGAGTTTCTCGTGTTCCAGTGTCCCGTATCTAACTCACACTTTAAGCACGAGCACACCCAGAGATCTCTATTGACTTGACGCAAGATCTCGCTAATACAACCTAGCTAGTGTAGCCGTGTGAAATCGATTTGTTTTTCATTTTCAACCACGAAATCAGCTGTCAAAGTGTTCGACTTGACAGTGGTTTGTTTTTTAATTTCAACCAGTAAAACGCATGTATTAGTGAAACTGCACACTAATACTAACGATGGCTGAGAACTCTACGCGGTTTGACATTAGAACACTACCACCATTGAGTTCTCCAAGCAGGATCTCACGAACACTACACGGCGAATGAGAACGACTCAAGTTTGAGTTTAGTTCACTCATAATCGCCAAAAGTGCAGGAACTCAGCGATGAGTTAATTTGCCTCATGTTTTCCCAGGATTTTCCAGGATTTTCCAGGGAAAAATTCCCGAATTTGAGAAAAGTAAAGATTGGATCCACTCAGTCTATTGATACTACTCCGAGACTGAATAAAATTTTCGTCCATTTCCCCATTTTCCGGCAAATTTTTTAGGTTTTCCACAGAAAACCATGGGACAAATTTTACTTATCGCTGAGTTCCTGCACTTTTGGCGATTATGAGTGAACTAAACTCAAATTTGAGTCGTTCTCATTCGCCGTGTACACTAATAATATTATTTTACACACACTAGCGTATACTGTCATGTGCACGGTAAGAATCAAACTTCCCTTTATGAGTAAAAGTGAACCCATTGTCAATAAAAGTGGAACTACTAATTAATGAGTAACTTGTTATACCAATTAAGTAGTAACTGTTAGCTACTGTTAGCAGAAACTCATTGTTGTTAAAATAATTTACTCATTAATGAGTAAAGCCACTTTTATTAAAAATGGGTAAACTTTTAGTCATAAAAGGGTATTTGACTGTTACCGTGCAAGCGTAGGATTTGTTTTCGTTTTGTTGTTTATTTTTACTTTAGAATGACAGTTCTTACAGCAAACAAAAAATTTCTCACAGCTAACAAAAAATTTCATCTCACTAACAAACGCAAATCGCACCAATACGAACCCGCCTGGTGAGGACTAAAGAGCGAACACGAAATTATTGCGACACATTCAACAGGGCATAACTTTTTTACCATTGGGTAAAAATCAACCAAATTTTGCACACTTTCTCATTGATGTGTATTGTGTACATGCTGTCAAACTCGAAGTCGTGTTTTTCGATTCAACGAAAATGGAGGTGAACCAACGCGAGTTGAGAGAAAAAATTCTTTCCAAACACCTGGAATTTCCTGACCTGTCGCACCGGCAGTTGGGAAAATGTTGAACATTCACCATTCAACCGTCTCCAGAGTGTTGAAGCGGTTCCAGGAGCGGTTGACGTTGGACCACGGCAAAGGAGCTGGAAGAAAACCGGGACCGGAGAACAAAAAGACGGAGGGAAAGGTGAAGCGGATGATTAAAGCAAATCCCAACGTCCCAAGCCGTGATTTGGCTAAAAAGATCGGCATGTCGCAGAGCTACGTCCAGAATGCAAAGAAGAGAGCTGGAATACATACATACAAGGTACAGAACTTCCCAAACCGCGATGAGCGGCAACAATCGACGGCTAAAACTCGGGCACGGAAGCTTTACGAGAAGATGCTGACAAAATATGGCTGTTGTGTGATGGACGACGAAACGTATATAAAAGCCGATTTTAAGCAAATTCCGGGGTTGGAGTTTTTCACCGGCAAGAGCAAGTTCGATGTGGACGACAAATTTAAGAAGAAGAAAATGTCGAAGTTCGCCTCCAAATATCTCATTTGGCAGGCCATCTGCTCTTGCGGACTGAGGAGTGAGCCTTTCGTGACAAAGGGCACAGTAAATGGCGAGATCTACAAATCTGAGTGCCTCGAGAAGCGCCGTTTGCCGTTCTTGCAGCAGCACGACGAAGCTCCGCTATTTTGGCCAGATTTGGCATCATGCCACTATTCTAAAAGTGTCCTGGAGTGGTATGAGGCCAATTCTGTCCATTTTGTTCCAAAGGACATGAATCCGCCAAACTGTCCGGAGCTGCGCCCGGTGGAGCAGTACTGGGCAATAATGAAGCGGGAACTTCGGAAGAGCAAGAAGACAGTCAAAGACGAGAAGGACATGTTAAGAAAATTTAAAAAAAAACTGAGAAACTGGTACCGGATGACACTGTAAAGACTTTGATGGAGGGCATCAAGCGAAAATGCGTTCAATTTTACACTCAAGGCTCCATCGATTAACTTTTCTTTTGATTTTTGAAGTAAATATATGTATAAAACTACCCTAAAATTTTGGTTTGAT